CTTTTAAATTGTGACAATTTCCAAGGGGCCAATCTGTGGGCCTAAATCCCTTTTCTGTCTATCCCTTCTCCATTGATAACCTCATGGTTTAAATACAGTCTTTACAGTACTGACTTCCAAACTTGTATCTCTAGCTCACATCTCTTCCCTGAAATCCAGACTCATTCCCCACTGCTTATGTGACATCTCTATTTGGATATCTGACTTGGCACCATAGACTCAGCAGGTCTAAAACTAAACAGCTGATCTTATTCCTAAAACCTGCTTCTCTTCACTCTTCCCCACCTCAGTAAATAGCCACTCCATCATTCTTCTTGCTTAGGCCAAAAATTGGAAGTTAAGCTTGACTCTTCTCTTTCTCTCATACTCCTAGTGGGTTCATCAGTAAATCCAGTCACTTTTGTCCAAAATATGACCACTTCTCACCACCAAGCTATGATCATTCTGAGTATTTACATTTTTGCATTAGCAAAAATTGGTTCCTCTGCTTTTGCCTTTGTTCCCCCCGACTCACCCCCCCTTGCCTGTCTCTGATTCTGTTCTCAACACAACAGCCAGAGCAGTCCTTTTAAAATGTAAGTCAAATCCTGTCACTCCTCTCTTCAAACCCTCTAGTGACATCCCGTAGCTTCCCTTCTCAGAGTAAAAGTAATCAAAATCATCTACAAATCCCGACCTGTTCTAATCCCCCTGCTTGCTCTCAAACCTCATCTCTTACCCTTCTCCTCCTCGCTCTTAGCTCTAACCATACTGGTCACTTTGTGATCTCCTTGAACACACAAAGATCCTGCATTAGGGCCTTAGGACTTGCTGTTTTTGCATATCTTCTGCAAAGCGGGTACTTCACCTTCAGGTTTTTGCTAAAATGTTAATGTTCCTGAATTCTCATTGACACCTTCCTTTACCAGAGGGAAGAGGAGAGATGCTTTTTTGAAAAACTTTGGCCAAAGATTTGGATTTTTTTTAATCTTGCTAGTGTAAAGTGCAGTATAATAGATTCTGGTTTCTGTAATTAAGGGATGATTCCATTAGTGAAGAAAAACCTAGTTATTTAACCATTATTTACTGAAACTTTGATTTTTTTTTTTTTTTAATATAAGTAGAGAGTTTATTTGGGCCAAGCTTGAAGATTGCAACTCAGGAGTACAGATTCAAGTTGCCCTGAATATACCCTCTGATTAGCAGCAGTTACAAGTGGATTTTTTAAATTATTATTATACTTTAAGTTCTAGGGTACATGTGTACAATGTGCAGGTTTGTTACATATGTATACATGTGCCATGTTGGTGTGCTGCACCCATTAACTCGTCATTTATATTAGGTATATCTCCTAATGCTATCCCTCCCACCTCCCCACTCCCCACAATAGGCCCCGGTGTGTGATGTTCCCCTTCCTGTGTCCAAGTGATCTCATTGTTCAGTTCCCACCTATGAGTGAGAACATGCGGTGTTTGGTTTTCTGTTCTTGTGATAGTTTGCTGAGAATGATGGTTTCCAGCTGCATCCATGTCCCTACAAAGGACACAAACTCATCCTTTTTTATGGCTGCATAGTATTCCATGGTGTATATGTGCCACATTTTCTTAATCCAGTCTGTTACTGATGGACATTTGGGTTGATTCCAAGTCTTTGCTATTGTGAATAGTGCCACAGTAAACATACATATGCATGTGTCTTTATAGCAGCATGATTTATAATCCTTTGGGTATATCCCCAGTAATGGGATGGCTGGGTCAAATGGTATTTCTAGTTCTAGATCCTTGAGGAATCGCCACACTGTCTTCCACAATGGTTGAACTAATTTACAGTCCCACCAACAGTGTAAAAGTGTTCCTATTTCTCCACATCCTCTCCAGCAGGATTGGTTGGTAGGCTATTAATTATTGCCTCAATTTCAGAGCCTGCTATTGGTCTATTCAGGGACTCAACTTCTTCCTGGTTTAGTCTTGGGAGGGTGTAAGTGTCCAGGATTTATCCATTTCTTCTAGGTTTTCTAGTTTATTTGCATAGAGGTGTTTATAGTATTCTCCGATGGTAGTTTGTATTTCTGTGGGGTCAGTGGTGATATCCCCTTTATCATTTTTTATTGCATCAATTTGATTCTTCTCTCTTTTCATCTTTATTAGTCTTGCTAGTGGTCTATCAATTTTGTTGATCTTTTCAAAAAACCAGCTCCTGGATTCATTGATTTTGGGGAGGGTTTTCTGTGTCTCTGTCTCCTTCAGTTGTGCTCTGATCTTAGTTATTTCTTGCCTTCTGCTAGCTTTCGAATGTGTTTGCTTTTGCTTCTCTAGTTCTTTTAATTGTGATGTTAGGGTGTCAATTTTAGATCTTTCCTGCTTTCTCTTGTGGGCATTTAGTGCTATAAATTTCCCTCTACACACTGCTTTAAATGTGTCCCAGAGATTCTGGTATATTGTATCTTTGTTCTCATTGGTTTCAAAGAACATCTTTATTTCTGCCTTCATTTTATTATGTACCCAGTAGTCATTCAGGAGCAGGTTGTTCAGTTTCCATGTAGTTGAGTGGTTTTGATTGAGTTTCTTAGTCCTGAGTTCTAGTTTGATTGCACTGTGGTCTGAGAGACAGTTTGTTATAATTTCTCTTCTTTTACATTTGCTGAGGAGTGCTTTACTTCCAACTATGTGGTCAATTTTGGAATAAGTGCAGTGTGGTGCTGAGAAGAATATATATTCTGTTGGTTTGGAGTGGAGAGTTCTGTAGATGTCTGTTAGGTCTGCTTGTTGCAGAGTTGAGTTCAATTCCTGGATCTTTGTTAACTTTGTCTCGTTGATCTGTCTAATGTTGACAGTGGGGTGTTAAAGTCTCCCATTATTATTGCATGGGAGTCTAAGTCTCTTTGTAAGTCTCCAAGGACTTGCTTTATGAATCTGGGTGCTCCTGTATTGGGTGCATATGTATGTAGGATAGTTAGCTCTTCCTGATGAATTGATCCCTTTACCATTATGTAATGGCCTTGTCTCTTTTGATCTTTGATGATTTAAAGTCTGTTTTATCAGAGACTAGGATTGCAACCCCTGCTTTTTTTTGTTTTCCATTTGCTTGGTAGATCTTCCTCCATCCCTTTATTTTGAGCCTATGTGTGTCTCTGCATGTGAGATGGGTCTCCTGAATACAGCAAACTGATGATTCTTGACTCTTTATCCAGTTTGCCAGTCTGTGTCTTTTAATTGGACCATTTAGTCCATTTACATTTAAGGTTAATATTTTTATGTGTGAACTTGATCCTGTCATTATGATATTAGCTGGTTATTTTGCTCATTAGTTGATGCAGTTTCTTCCTAGCATTGATGAACTTTACATTTTGGCGTGTTTTTGCAATGGCTGGTACCGATTGTTCCTTTCCATGTTTAGTGCTTCCTTCAGGATCTCTTGTAGGGCAAGCCTGGTGGTGACAAAATCTCTAAGCATTTGCTTGTCTGTAAAGGATTTTATTTCTCCTTCACTTATGAAACTTAGTTTGACTGGATATGAAATTCTGGGTTGAAAATTCTTTTCTTTAAGAATGTTGAATATTGGCCCCCACTCTCTTCAGGCTTGTAGAGTTTCTGCCGAGAGATCTGCTATTAGTCTGATGCGCTTCTGTTTGTGGGTAACCCGACCTTTCTCTCTGGCTGCCCTTAACATTTTTTCCTTCATTTCAACTTTGGTGAATCTGACAATTATGTGTCTTGGAGTTGCTCTTCTCGAGGAGTATCTTTGTGGCATTCTCTGTATTTCCTGAATTTGAATGTTGGCCTACCTTACTATGTTGGGGACGTTGTTCTCCTGGATGATATCTTGCAGAGTGTTTTCCAACTTGGTTCCATTTTCTCCGTCATTTTCAGGCACACCAATCAGACGTAGATTTGGTCTTTTCACATAATCATATATTTCATGGAGGCTTTGTTCATTTCTTTTTACTCTTTTTTCTCTACACTTCTCTTCTCGCTTCATTTCATTCATTTGATCTTCAGTCACTGATACTCTTTCTTCCAGTTGATCGATTCGGTTACTGAAGCTTGTGCATTTGTCACATAGTTCTCGTGTCATGGTTTTCATCTCTATCTGTTCTTTTATGGTCTTCTCTGCATTGATTATTCTTGTTATCCATTCATCCATTCGTTTTTCAAGGTTTTTAGTTTCTTTGCGCTGGGTATGTAGTTCCTCCTTTAGCTCTGAGAATTTTGACCGACTGAAGCTTTCTTCTCTCAACTCGTCAAAGTCATTTTCTGTCCAGTTTTGTTCCATTGCTGGCGATGAACTGCGTTCCTTTGGAGGGGTAGATGCGCTCTGATTTTTTGAATTTCCAGCTTTTCTGCACTGCTTTTTCCCCATCTTTGTCGTTTTATCTCCCTTTGGTTTTTGATGATGGTGACGTACTCATGGGGTTTTGGTATGGGTGTCCTTTCTGTTTGTTAGCTTTCCTTCTAACAGTCAGGACCCTCAGCTGCAGGTCTGTTGGAGTTTGCTTGAGGTCCACTCCAGACCCTGTTTGCCTGGGTATCAGCAGCAGAGGCTGCAGAAGATAGAATATTGCTGAACAGTGGGTGTTGCTGTCTGATTCTTGCTCTGGAAGCTTCGTCTCAGAGGTGCACCCAGTCGTGTGAGGTGTCAGTCTGCACCTCAGTTGAAAATGCAGAAATCACCCGTCTTCTGTGTTGCTCACGCTGGGAACTGGGGACTGGAGCTGTTCCTATTCGGCCATCTTGGGTGCCCCCCCCCTTTTTTTTAGTTCTTTTATATGTGTGCAATGCTTGGATAATTGTAGTATAAAAAACATAGAAAACTATGGTGGTAGATACTTCACTGTTTTTTAAAAAACTGGTGGCTATTCTGATACATACAAATGCATGCATTTTAATACTCCATAGTGTCATTATGTTGATAGTATCAACCTAGTGGAATCATAATTGATCATCATTTCTTAAAAACAGTAGATTAAGTAGCTTAGTGAAAGAGTCTGGTGTTTCATTATTGCTACTTAATTTTTCTTACAGGGCAAAGTTCTAAAAACATCAGTTCATCTCCAAGTGTTGAGAGTTTGCCTGGAGGAAGAGAATTCACTGGCTCCCCACCTTCATCTGCTACTAAAAAAGATTCCTTTTTTAGCAACATCTCACGTTCCCGCTCACACAGCAAAACTATGGGCAGAAAAGAATCTGTAAGTATTTAAGGACAATTTTCTCTTCATTCTTCATTTTCCTCCATAGAGTGCTGCATTTATGAAAGCTCTGTTAGTGCCCAGTTTCATAAAGCTCTTAAAACTTTTATGGACTAAAAGGAATTATCTTATCAAAAGTATTTTATTATTATACTTTAGTAATATTTTAAGGCTGTAGCCTGTATCACACTGGAAATAAAAGAAAGTAGCATCATTTTAAAATAAGTTGAATCTTTCCCAAATCGCACTCCTTTTTTTCTCTACAAACGCCTTTTCTTCAAAGCCTGTGTTTTCTTATAAAATTTAACAAATAAATGATGGAAGTTGGAACAAACCAAGCTGTTTTTTCCATTTAAGATATTTCTTGAAAATTAAAAATAATTGATTTACCATATAAAAAGCTATACAAACTACATTTAAATTATATTTTGATACTCTGTAAAATTCTTCTTTTTTTCTTTTTTTTTTTTTTTTTTGAGACAGAATCTCAATCTTGGCTCACTGCAGCCTCCACCTCCTGGGTTTAAGTGATTCTCATGCCTCAGCCTCCTAAGAAGCTGGGATTACAGGTGTGTGCCACCATGCCTGGCTAATTTGTGTATTTTCATTAGAGACGGGGTTTTGCCATATTGGCCAGGCTGCTCTGGAACTCTTGGGTTCAAGTGATCTGAGCCTTCCAAAGTGGTGGGATTACAGACATGAGCCACTGTGTCCAGCCTGTAAAATTCTTTATGTACATTTCTCGAAAGGATATAGCTAAGGCATATCCACTGCTTTAAAAACTTGGTTGTGTCTGAAATTATTATAAGCCAACTTCACATTTAACCACATTTTATAACAGCCATGCATAGCTTAAAAACAGTGATACATTCAGAGGAGTGTGTTGTTAGGCAATTTCATCATAGTGCAAACATCGTAGAGTGTACTTACACAACGAAATGGTACCACCTACTACACACCTAAGCTGTATGGTATAGTCTGTTACTCCTAGGATACAAACCTATATAAGCATGGCACTGTACTGAATACTGTAGGCAATTATAACAATGGTAAGTATTTTTGTATCTAAACATATAAAAGGTACAGAAAATTGTAAGGTATACAGAAAAAAAAATGGTACACCTGTCTAGGGCACTTCTTATGAATGGAGCTTGGAAGTGGCTCTGGGCGAAGGAATGAGTGAGCAGTGAGTGAATGTGAAGGCCTAGGATTATTGTGCACTACTGTAGACTTTATAAACACTGTACACTTAGGCTACACTAAATTTATTTAAACAATAGTTCTTTCTTCAAAATAAATTAATCTTACCTTACTATAACTTTTACTTCATGAACTTTTTTTTTTAAATTTTTGTTTCTTTTGTAATAACACTTAGCTCAAAACAAACACGTTTTTTAGCTGTACAAACATTCTTTTTCTTACATCTTTATTCTGTGATCTTTTTCTATTTTTGAATTTTTTTATTTTACTTTTTAAGCTTTTTTGTTAAAAATGGAGACACGCACATTAGGCTAGGCCTAACCAGGGTCAGGATCATCAGTATCATTGTTTCCACCTCCAAGTTTTGCCCCCCTGGAGGGTCTTTGGGGGGCAGTGACACTCATGGAGCTGTCATCTCCTGTGTTAACAATGCCTTCTTCTGGAATACATCCTGAAGGACCTGCGTGACGCTGTTTTAAAGTTAACTCTTTTTTTAATATGTGTAACTAGAAGTACATTATAAAATAATGATAAAAAGTATAGTATAGTAAATATATAAACCAGTAACACAATCGATTATTATTATTCACTGTACATAATTGTATGTGCCATACTTACATATGACTGGCAGCACAGTAGGCTGGCATCACCACAAACACTGAATCCATTGCACTATGACATTATGACAGCTATGATGTCACTAGACAATAGCATTTGTTAGCTCCATTATAGTCTTATGGGACCACCATCATATATGTGGTCTGTTGATCAAAACATCATTACGTGTCACATGACTGTAGTTTAACACCTAATATCTTAATAAGAACTCATCTGCCCCGTGGAAGAGGATGCCAAGGTAATACAGAAAAGGATCTAGCTATAACTGAAAGTATCCTAAATTAGAAAAACAAACAAACAATTAAATCTTTGAGAGATAATTATTTAAGGTACATAGAATATTACGTTCTCTATCTGTGTGACTTTGTATTTCTTGGGGCGAGACACTCAGTTTCTGGAGTTTTAACCACCTTATCTGCAAATTAAACATTTTTGCTCTCTGACGGAAAGAGTTTAACTACCTGCCCTCTTAGGGATCCCTTCAATATGTAGGAACTGTGATTCTGTAGTATATAAAAGAGCAGAGAGGAACTTTAGTTTAAACATGGCACCTTTAGTGCAAGCATTTAGCTCTGTTCCCTCCTAAAATTCCAGTGCAAGGACAAGGGCAGTTAAAGATAAACCCTCAAAAAATAAGAAAACAAAAGAGAAAACAGTAGCAATAAAATATTGTTACTTGGAAAACAGATGAAAATTGACAACTAAGCAGCCTAAGAAAGCTGAACCTTAAGTCAATGGTAGGTCAAAAACAAAGAAGCAGCTTGACTTACATTGTAAAATTCTCTAGAAGCTCAGGAGCTACAGGTGAAGATGAAGGTAGAACTGAAGACAAGACAACTGGTCAGAAGCTTCTGAAAGAGGAATTAGATTTCCTTCCTTATATCAGCAAAAGACTGAAAATATAATTCTCTGAAAAGTGTACAACAGAATGTGTGTGGTCTGAGAGATCAGGCACATTCCGGTGTGAACCACCCTACTGGAAAAGGGGTAGTGAACACTTAAATGCTAAATTTGAGACCCCAGGCCTCCCCAGCTTGCTCTCCAGAGTACCAGTATGGATAGCCTTCAGGCAAGAGATTTGGAAGGGTTTTCTCTAGGCAAAAGACACACACACACACAGCTATAAATATACTTACCCCAGGGGTGCTCCAAGGAAACACCCAGTTACTTTATAGTGGACCCCACCATTAACGAGCTCCATCCAAACAGAACTTCCTCTTAGCTTTTTAGTTTATACTATTTTATATGGACAAGACAGCCAAGGATCACCAGACACTTGAAGAGAGGATTTGATAATGAAAGACAAACAAAAACAGAAAAAAGCAACTGGGAGGAAACAGGCTATGCAGAACAAGAAAACAAATATCATATTTTAATACATTTTTTTGTTCTCTAAATGTTATATTTTTCTAATGTAATACCTTTTCTAATGTATACATTTTTCTAAAATGTAAAACTCAGTGGAAGAGTTGGAAGATAAAGTTGAGGAAATCTCCCCTGAAAATAGAATATAAAATAAATAGAAGAGAGAAAAACATAAGAAAATGAGAGAACTGGCCCAGAAATTTTTAAAAATAGGAGTTTCAGAGTGAACAGAGAAAATTAAAGGAAGGAAATATCAAAATTACAATTTGAGAAATTTTTTCATTAATAAAATAACTGAGTCTTAAGATAGGAAAAGTCCATAGACTGACCCACTCAAGAAAAAACAAACCCACAGTCAGATGTATTACTGAAAAAGTTCAGAAATCTGCAAACAAAAGAATCTTACTGACTCATAGAGTTGGAAAAGAAAGATTCTAACAAAGAATGAGGAATTAAAATAGCTACAGACTTCTCAGTAGCAACACCAAAAGCAAGACAATGGAGCGATACTTTGAAAGTTCTGAGAAATGGCCAAGCGTGGTGACTCACGCTTGTAATTCCAGCATTTTGGGAGGCCGAAGCAGGTGGATCACCTGAAGTCAGGAGTTCGAGACCAGCCTGACCAACATGATGAAACCCCATCGCTACTAAAAATACAAAAATTAGCCAGGCATGGTGGTGGGCGCCTATAGTCCCAGCTACTCGGGAGGCTGAGGCAGGAGAATCACTTGAACCCGGTAGGTGGAAGTTGCAGTGAGCCGAGATCACGCCACTGCACTCCACCCTGGGTGACAGAGCAAGAATCCATCTCAAAAAAAAAAAAAAAAAAGTTCTGAGAAAAAATTACTTCTAACCTAGATTCAACATCTGGCTAAACTAGTAGTTAATTTTGAGTGTAAAATAAAGCCATGTTTAGACATTAAAGATTCAAAAAAATGATTCTCATGAACCCTGGGAATCCACTGGAGGATATGCTGTACAAAAATGAGGACATAAACTAAGGAGGAAGAATACCTAAGAACTAGGAAATAGAGGATCCAAAGCAAAACAAAAAGATCCCCAGAATGATAATGTATGGAGATCCAAAGACTATAGCACTGCTAAATAGCAGACCCAGAAAGTAGTAGCAAGCCCAGATTGGAGCAAGTTGGAAGTTTCCAGAAAGATTTATTCAAAAAGATAAAATTGGAAGAATGACTAATATACTTTAACAAATTGAGAGATGTATGCAACTAGGCATGAGTTTGGGTGATAACTTTATAAAAGCTAAACTAACCCCAAAAAAGGACAATTGGTAACCCCAAAGAAAAACAAAGTATGTGTAGGAAAAGAAAGAAAGGTTATGATAAACCTTATAACTGAGCTGGGATTAACATTTACATAGACATTATAATGTAAGCCTATTGAATATTAATCTAATCAGAATCACACTATACCTGTTGAGAAGATGGGGCATGGGAACTACGTGTTTGCCTGAGGAGGAGAGGAGGGAGCAGGTGGTAGTGGTCAATACAACTAAATCTTTATCTTCCATAGTGGGGAATCAGGGGATAATACTCAAGAGAAATCAAGAAGTGGCTAGATAAGTTAGAGATAAAGGCCATCTGTGGTGGCTCACACCTGTAATCCCAACACTTTGGGAGGCTGAATCGAGAGTATTGCTTGAGTCCAGGAGTTTGAGACCAGCCTAGGCAATATAGTGAGACCTGTCCTTACAAAAAAAAAATTTTTTTTCATTAGCCAGGTATGGTGGTATGCGACTGTAGTACCAGCCACTCGGGAGACTGAGGTAAAAGGATCACTTGAGTCTGGGAGAT